TAGGATGTAGACATGTGTTCCGTTATTATTGTATACAGGTATGTATTTATATTGTATATGTAGACACTAACAACCCACACCAGTTAGGATGTAGACATGTGTTCTGTTATTATTGTATACAGGTATGTATTTATATTGTATATGTAGACACTAACAACCCACACCAGTTAGGATGTAGACATGTGTTCTGTTATTATTGTATACAGGTATGTATTTATATTGTATATGTAGACACTAACAACCCACACCAGTTAGGATGTAGACATGTGTTCTGTTATTATTGTATACAGGTATGTATTTATACTATTTGGCAATTCCATCTGAATTCGAACTAATTTGATATGTGGTATTTCCTTGAAAAAGGTCAAATGCAATTTTGTGATAAATCTTATGAAAACCAAGTTGACCTCAAAGATTTTTTTACAACTCACTGAATATAATATTTTAATATTATATTCAGTGAGTATAATATTTTAATATTGAACTTAAAACATATTTTGAGTATCAGTCATATTAATGAAAGTATTTTGTATCATGTAAGGTCATGATATTTTTTCTCTTACATTTTTCTGAATAATAAATCCATTCCCAGCTATCAAGGGCTTTCTGCTTTGTCAAATGTTTACATTTACCTTATTTCAGAGTAATGTGATGGCTGACCAGTCTTACTCCTGTCCTGTATGTGATGGACTTCCTGTTTTATTAATATAGTTTATCAAATGTTTACATTTACCTTATTCCAGAGTAATGTGATGGCTGACCAGTCCTACTCCTGTCCTGTATGTGGGCAGTGTGTGGAGGAGGAAAGTGGCATCCAACCAGTAAGAATGGAGGATACAAAGGACTTGTAGCCAATAAGAAAATGAGAATCATTATATGCAGAAAACCTTGACTGAAGCTAAGAAACCAACCTGGTTAGATGTGACAGTAGCACATGAAGCATCAGATCTGCTTCTGACCAATGATATTACTGTATTCTTAGAACATGCAGATAGATTCTTTTTCCTTGTTCTTGGGAGATGTCGACACTGAGATGTGGATTTTGTGAAACACTACTCTTAAGCAAAAAGCCATTTATGTATGAGAGGACGAGTTAATTGTGAGGAAGTGCTATCCTGGGGAGTTAAATATTGTGCCAATTTATAGTGGTTATTAAATCAGCCACTATCAATTTTTCATAAATTAAAATGTTATTTTCCTAAATAAGTTGTGATGCATCTTATTTGTTACATTAATTATGTAAGAAAACATGAAAAAATACAGACTTTAATAAAAGTAATGTTCACAAACTGTGGATATTCCATTATTTTTATTAACATGGTCATAGCAGCAAAAGTAGACAGCTAGTCTACGTTTTACTACTAATGATACAATTCTACAACTTGATAAGTTGCCAGCATAATGTACAGCAAAAATGACTAGAGACAGGTGGAAAATTCATCTTTAAGACAAAGTGAACAATTTTTATGTCCACCTTCTGGCAAGAAATGGAGATGATAACACACACAAAGACACAGACACACACACACACACAGGTACATACACGCCTACGGACACACATACATACAAACATGTACATGCAGAAACACACCTACGCACAATTCCATCTTATCATTTCACTGGTTCTCTACATTTTCCTTTTATATTCAATGTAATTGCATAATAGTAAATAGTAATAGGACAGCTGCAGGTATAATGCACACTACTTTTAACATACTGAAAAGGCCAACAAACATTTCAGTTCTGGTCATCACTTCATCCACCTGATCCTAAATGTAGATGCTCTAAACAGTACATGACAATGAAGGCTCACTTGGCAGCAGATGCATTTTAGTTTACTCATGAGTCTGGTACAAAATTCAGAAATCAAAGTGGATCTTCAGTATCTTACATATAAGCAGTCCATAGTGCAAAGACATTGGACTTTATCATAGATAAATATTCCATCTGTTTTAGACAAGCTTCACGTTTTATCTTCAATTTCCTCAGCATACAGCTGCATCTGAAAAACATTCCGTCATATAGTTTTATATACCAACATGGAATGTATAAAAACATTGTGTCATATAGTTTTATATACCAACATGGAATGTAGAAAAACAAGTGTTATCTTTTTATGTCATGTATTCATTCATTTAATAATGCCTGTTTATTTATATTTGAAATAAAAAGTAGAGTGGTATGTGTGTTCAAAGTAGTCTTTGTAGATGTTGAAGCCATTCCAGGTCAAAACAACTGAACCATGGACCAGAACCCCCCCCCCCCCCTCCCAACAAGGATTCAATGACCAGAGCTGAGGGGTCCACCTGGGGTGTAGCAGAGGCCCCACTGTATCTTAACTCTTCATACCAGTCTAAAGGTTCATTCAGAATGAGTTTGGTTGACCTAACTAAAACTAACTAAAATTCACTGTAAATGTTTCCTAACATAACTGCAATATGCATGTTGTATACAGAAAATGAAAATCGTAATATGTATAATTATAAGATGATGAACAAGGTCAAAAACAGAATAAAAATGAGGTCACTGACCTGTACAAGCCCAGTCTGCATGGCTTTCAGTGGCACTAGTCTAGAGTCTGCCATGCTGGTCTGGAGATCTTCAGCTTGTACCCATGGAAACGACTGGTTTAAATAATAACAGTTACCATGGTTACATCCTTCCTCACAATAAATCACAACAAATTATGAACAAGTAGAAAAACTGCAAAAAAGTAGCATACCAAGCATAAAAATATGATTCAGTCATTTTAACATGAATCTGATGTCCTGAATAAGAAACTTCTGAAACAACTGAAAATAATTCAATGATATCAGTCCAAAATGTAGTAAAATTTAAAACACAGTTATGATAAAAACTTTAAAAGTGCATTTTTCACATAATATTCACAGTATTCTTGCTAAATTATTTAAAATGAACTTAATCTTTTTCTTTTTTAATTATTTTCTAAGCTAGAATTCTACCTCTATGAGTGGCTGACTTTGTAAGGTGTCCACAGCACTTTCTTTGGTGTGAACTTGAACTGTCCATGTGCAGTCTGAAAATGCAATTTTAAGTTAAGAAAAGAAGTTGTTCAGCGTGTCAAAATGAATTAAATTTTTTTGTCTAATTTGCATCATAACAACTTGAAGATTACAGCAATCAAAACATATCAGCTGGATTAAATGACATAATATGGAGGGCAAAGTTTGAGGCAAAAGTCTGAAAAGAACAAGAATTGGGTATAGTATCAAAATTCAGAATTGATCTAACTTGTAAAAGTAATCACTCACACGGTCACATTTATGTGCATATTAACTTTTGTTGTAATATTTTATGGATATCACATTGTCAATAATAAATTCAACCCTTTTTCCTATTTTGAACAGGGAAATTAAGACATGCTTTTTCTGTATAAATATTGTCAGTGCCTAAAAACTGATGATCAATACAAACCACCAGTCTTGGAATTACTATGTAGAATCTGAAGTTACCTTTTGGCTTGTCTGACAGCAGAGCCTCACAAATATTCAGCTTTAAAATAAATGACCTCAAGGCCTGCTCTATCCTCAGTAAGAAACTGTCATCACTAAAAATATAGCAATCAAAATCAAAGTTCAAGACTTTATATCTTCTATTTTTAGTTATTCAAAAATACATGACATCTAACTTGGAACTAACTTTCTGCTCACAACCAACAGAAATTCATTTTTTTCATGCATCATGTACTATGTATAAAACATTGTATTTGGTAAATGTAACCAAGCTTGTTCCGAAGTGAAAGCAGATTTAAAGATTTAAGCACAATTACTTGGAAATACTATAACAGTTAAATTTACATTTACATATCCAACATGTTCCAAATTAATGTAAAACAAAGCATAACAGAAACAGGCAAGTTCTCAGAAATTGTTGACTTATTTACATACATATTAGTAAGTTAGCACCTGTTACAATAACAATCAACATACCTGATATTGGGTTGTTGTGGAGTTGTTATCTCGAAGACAAATCTTTCTACAGGACGTTCAAAACCGTCCAGGATCACCAACACCACTTTCTCCAGCTCGTTATTTTGAAGCAATGGTCTCAGACTTTTCACCACCTCCTGGATATAACTCCTCACCTCTGGGTGACGTGATACCTGGTGGGAAATAAAAATAGTTTTTAATTTAGTCAATATAAAACTTCGGGAAGATGAGATGTTGAGTGGAAAGGAAAACAATTATTAATTTAATCAATATACAAGTTCAGGGTGATAAGATACCTGGTAATAAAATAAACATTTAATTTCTACGTTAAATCAATATACATCAGTGTGATTAGATATCAGATGAGAAGTGAAAATATCTTCAAAATCTAATCAATACACAACTTCAAGGTGATGGATAGCTGGTGTGAAATATAAATATTTTTGATATGATGTGTGTTGATGGCAGTGTGGTTATAGTGTCCCCCCCCCTCTCCCAGGAACTGGAGGACATGGGCTTAGCTATGTCCAAGGACAATGAACCAGTCCTTTATAAAAAGTGCCTGCTGTCTACCAGCTTGGCACTGAGCACTTAGGGATAAATGTATATGTACACAAACTGTACAGCATCCAGGTTGGATTCTGCAGAGGGAGGTAAAAACATTCCCATCAAGTCAGGAGCAGGGTCTAATGTGTAAGTGTGAAATCAAGTGTGCGTGCAGGCCCATGGCCAGGAGGTTTGGGAGGGTGTGGGGTTCCAACCAGGACAGGGTCCACTCTGGGTAAAATTTGATCCAGTTATATAAAAGTTTTGTGTTAAAAGGTCCACTTTCTCAGAGAAAGACCCCTCTCTTGCGTATACTGAGTATATGGGCCCTGTGTGCATGTACTAGTATGCATGTGTTATACATGTATGTAGGTGGTTGAAATTTTATACCTGCACTGGAATATTGTACTTTTTTCTTCTTTCAAAGACTCCAGGTGGATAGACCTGCCTCACATACAGGATACAATGGAATGCCACTTCAAGAAACTCACACAGAATGTCAGCAGAAACTGAAACATGGAGAAAATTGTTCTATCAATAATAGCTGTAACAGTCAATCTTAAATGACAGACACTTGTCCTTCCAATTTCTATAGGCATTTAGTCTCAAATATATCTGTCTTTACTCTGCATGCTACAGGTACCTGTACATGTACAGTACTGAGACCAAAACCAGGAGGTTCAGTTTGCAAATAACACTGCTTTGGGTACCTTCTGACACACTAAAATCTTGATGGCTCATTTGGCTTTTTGACCTCAAAGACCTCTACATACAACATTGACTGGCCAGGTCTTAAAAGACGGCATGGGTTATATCATCAGGTGTCGCGTTTTACAGAAAACAAACACAGCTGTACACGTGAGGTAGCAGAGTTGCAAAGAAAAACTAGGTGCTCTCTAGTATACGGAGAACGGAAAGTAGGTCAGCGGATGACAAGCAGTGTGGTGAAGGGTAAGGAGACGTACGATGTGTTTGTTTTAAGAAACAGAGACATTTTGAGGTCTTGATATGGTGCAGTCTAGTACAAACATTTAAGATTGAGTAGTTGTAAATCTGAAAACCGTAACTGAAGCTGGCGAGCGCAAGGACTGCTGCAATATTGCCGCTGCCACTGTGGTATCTTATTTTACAGTCGCCAGTATACAGACAACATTTGATTCTGTAGTAAATTGTAATATTGCTGTCTTTTGACATTCGGGTTCTCTCTAGCATCAAGTATCAGAATGGCTGCCCCCACAGAGAAACCTCTCTCTGTGAACCCGTTGGAACAGTTTGTCTTGCTGGCCAAGTCCGCCAAAGGAGCTGCTGCTGTGGAATTAGTGAAGCAAGCACTAGAGGCGCCAGGCGTTTATGTGTTTGGAGAACTACTGGCCATGCCACATATACAAGAGGTTAGTGCACTCTGTGCAAAATAATAATGATAATAATAATAATAATACATTTACAAAAATAATAGTCTCTGACCAGGCTAATGTCACTGAGACTGTTTATTTTGATGGTTAAAAATTAACTGTTAATATTTCAACTACATGTTTAGATATGAAGAATCCCTCAATTATGATAGATTTGAAGCAGGAATTTTCATGGGAAATGGGGTACACTGAGCCCAAAATGTGAACCTGTGGTTTGGTCATCAGTTTTAAAGTCAGTCCAACCCAAACATTTTGTAAACTGTCCAGTTGTCCTTGGAGGCTACTAGTAATGGCCCTCCAAATGATGACTGGGAGGCTCCCTGGGAAAAGCCTTGCTTTGAAGTATTGTCAATGATTTTTAAAAGTTTTTTAACATTAACAACAAGTAACATATTACATTTGAGAGGATAAAGTGAAAAATAATATTAAAAGTTATTGAGTTAATATGGAAAGAATGTACTTAAAGTATATTGAATATCACATATTATTTCACCAGTTGGCTGAAGGTCCACATGCTGCATATTTCAACCTGTTGAATTTGTTTGCATTTGGGACAGTAAAAGACTATGAAGGTAAGGAGTGACGTTCTAATAGTCAATCTTTATTTTTTCAAACTTTTTTTTAAAATTTATTCTGAGGTATTACAGATGAATTATCTTAAAGAATTAGGTTATGCCATCTTGGTAATGATTTCATTGTCTGTTTACATTTTTCTTTGGTATCAAATCGTAAGGTATGCATAAATCTTTCTATGATTAAGTGATGTGTTATAATATCTATTTTAGAAAATAAAGCAACATTGCCAGAATTAACAAATGCAAGTCTTACAAAACTCAGGCATCTCACCTTAGTGGCTTTAGCAACTAAGTCAAAAGTAAGTATGTGTGAGAAAGAGTGTGTGTACTTGTATTTGTGTAAGAGAGAGAGAGAAAGAGAGAGAGAAGGTAATAAGTACATACATGTAGTTGTGTTATAGTACAAAAATACCTTAAGCATATTTGCTGTTGATAGAGTAATTATAATTGATATGGAATAATAACTTAAGAATGGATCAGCTTCTTAATTCATTAATTGACCAGGTAATGTGCCTAATACTTGATTCATGTACAGTATGTATATTTTATATATAATATTTATATATATTGCTTTTATTTCTGTAGGTCATTCCCTATTCAACCCTTCTAACAGAGCTAAATATGAAGAACCTGCGTGAGTTGGAGGTAAATCTGACTTGTTCAAGAACATTGTTATAATAAATTTTAAGACTTATGATTACAGAAAATTCCTTCCCAATTAAATCTTAAATTTGTATTTTAATGATTTTTTTTATGAAATTGCCATTTAACATTTCAATAAGTGAAATAATTTCCAATTGATCTTTTTTATGATAATTACTCATAGATGTTACAATAAATATCTATAGTGATCGTGCTTATCTATTTGAATTTAATTAATTTAATTATGAATTTAAATTACTTTTGAGAACCTGTAAATCATCTTTTTTTTTTAGGTATTAGCTTTCAGAGGACACATAGCTAATCTATTTTGTTTACAGTTGGCGAGATATACTATTCTGATATGTTTGGATGTTCTAGGACTTGATAATAGAAGTGATCTATGCTGATATCGTGCGGGGCAAGCTAGACCAGAAGAACCAGCAGTTAGAAGTAGACTATGCCATTGGTCGCGACATAAGAGAAGAACAAGTGACAGAGATGGTCAATGTATTACAAGAATGGTATGTGTGCTGGCATCACATCTCTCTCTCTTTCTTTCTCTCTCTGTTGTAAAGCTTTGTAATTGACTTTGTTGATTACCTGTCTCTCTTGTACATCTCTCCTTCACTTGTGATGTTTTTTCTGATGTGCCACCTTCTTATCTTAGCCTTCTTTGATGATTGCTATGCAGAACTTGACAGGTGTCATGAGTTTTTCTATAACTACCATAAATAACATATAAAAAGTTGCATCATGAATGGACTGTTTGTTTTAACTTAACTAACGTCTGCAAATTGGAAGAAAGGTGAACAGTATGATTTGTATTAATATTAAGAATTGATTGCATTTCTCAAAGGATATTACTGTAGAATTTTGCTCTGTACTCTAATTGCTTGACTCCTCCAGGTGCGACAGCTGTGACATTGTTCTAAAAGGAATCGACTCGCAGATCATGAGAGCCAATCAGAAGAAAGAATACAACATCAAACTGGTGCAACAAATGGAGACAGAAGTAAGCGTTTCTTCACGGTTATAATCATTATGAGAGTCTGCAACATATCTAGTACCGCCCCAAGTTCACTGAATAAGAGTTGGCAGTGAATAATTTAAAAAGACAGTTTTTTCAAAATTAAGTCTTTTTAGCAGTTGTTTAAGATTATTCTCTCATAGATAAAATATTCCCTCTTTGGGTTAGTAACCTAAAATTTGGACTAGTCTTGAGGTTTTCCTTGGCCCACTTCTCATTAGTCCATTTTTTAATCCAAATTACAATTTTTTTTTTTTTGTATGGTTTAGATTGTTGAACTCTTATCACATCAGAAAATGTTTGTGCGTGTGTGGATAGGTGTGATATGCCAATATTCATAGCTGACAATATTCCAGATGTGTTTGTATTGTCTGTAATATCCGAACACAACAAAAAATAATGAGTATGTGAAATTCAGGTTTGTCAGTCATGTGCTTGTATTGTTTAGATTGCTAACATAAAATAATGAGTATGTGAAATTCAAGTTTGTCAGTCATGTGCTTGTATTGTTTAGATTGCTAACATAAAGAAGACGTTGAAGACAACGCAGCAGACTGAAGCAGACGACAACATGGCAGCTGACAGTGGTGTGCAGCCAGAAAAACCAGCCAAGAAAGCGGCTTCAAAGACAAAGGGGTGTGTGTTTTACTCCATGTACTAGTAGACAGTAAATATGTTGGTATTGTAAATTCCCTATTTGAATGCGGAATTCATATGATTGTATAAAGCAAGCAAAGACGACTTGCTTATATGATTGATAAATGCATGAAAGTTAACAAGATATTGATATCTTCCTTTTGAAAAATGAATGCAGTTGTCGGTGCTTTTTTTTGTTGGAGAACACACTTATTTTGATAAATTTATATCCATTTGCTTTGCAAAAAAACTTATTAACACTGTTGTAATAAAATCTAGCCTTTCTTTCCTTCAGACTGAGAGGTAGTGCAAAATTCTGGAAATGAAACTGCAGCGTATTGAAAACAGCAGTGTGAACTGTGGCTTTCATCCATGTACAGGCAGATTTTTCTATATCATGGAGGACATAACAAGGAGTTAGATATTGACAGTTTGAGAAAGTACTAGAGGTACTTCTTCTGGCCAGCCAAAGCAAAGGAGTTTTATTATGTCTTTCTACATGCAGCGTTCCTCATTACTTGTATGAGAGAAAGAAAACCAGTTCTTAGTATCATGTCTAACTTAAAGATGGCGCCACTTTTGACAAAACTCCACAAGATGAAAGATGTTGATCACCACACTTATGACATATATAGTCTATGTTTACTATGACTTTTCTCTCTGAATGGCAGAATTCCAGTGGAAATAAATTTTTTTAAAAAAGTAACGTAATACCAGATTAATGTTACACATCAGGTTTGATAAATCATGTAAGGACTTTGTGGTTTAGAACATTTTGATATGTTACATATGTTAAAGGCTTGTTAAACTCATCTTTTTATAAATTAAAATTTTTCTTATTTGCTAGTCTTTATGATACTGTAAAAAAACAAGGCTAATTTCTTACCATTTCAGTAAAAAATGCTGTAAATTTCTAACACCGCATTTCACTATCTGCAAAATAAATGTGTAAATACATTAATAAAACCACACTTTTAGTTATAGCTTATTTAATAATGAGTGAATAGAGAAAAAAGTTACAATTTTGACATTTCATTCTTTGAGTTGGTAATTTGAAGGCACATGGCTGACAAGCTGAGTCTGTTACTTTTAACCCTTCATTTTCTAGATAAACTATTCTTTTCTGTAATCATTTGATTATAGAACGTGTTCCAATACTGATCACCCTGATTTGCCTGTATTTCTGGGATAAATATGGCTCTGCGGCCTTTTCCTGTATGTGACCCTACCTCAACTACTTGTATATCAAAGAACAATGCATAAAATCTTTAGAGATGTTAAATTGTAATCAGCTACTGTGGTATCAGTTTCACATAAAAGCTTAAGTCAGGTTCCTTGGCTAACAACTTAATTACCAAGGTTACATGGTCACATGGGAACATCTTACCCTATCAGAAACAGTGTTACAGCACTCATGGGAATCCTGGTCAACTAAGCCATGGAACTGACTTATAATTTTATTAATTAATTTTTTTTTTTTTTTTTTTGTGAAACTGGGGTCTGGATGATGTTATTAATAGTACTGAAATCATCATCTTTAAAAGGAAAACTTGTGCATATCTTGCACTGTATTTTATGTAAAGACATAAATAATAAAATGAAATGTAACAGTTTTAACAATATAATAATTTGTAAAAATATATATCTCTTGTTAGTAATCACAAAATTGCTTTATGTTGCACCCCAGTTGATAAGGCATTATATGTATGTATAAGTCTTTAACAAAGAGTAAGACCATGGTTTTACAACATGCAATAACTATCTAACCATATACATGTTCAGAAGGTACATTGTACTAATGACCAACATTAATGAAATTAATGAACCTAAAAAAAATGTGCACAAAATCAGTCGTGACTGAATAAATCACTTGACCAAGTGATAAAAAATGGAAGCATTTCAAATATAATTTGACTTAGCAAAATTACTGTAAAAAAACTCCAGATTCTGTGATACTACTTTTCTAATAAGCACCTCAATTTGACATTCTATCTTTTTTGTTGTCAACATGTAACTGCAGCCACCTGCCATAGAGAGATGTGAAGTCTTTGAGTGCATTCATAGTGAAACTATCTAATCAGCTCAGCAGGGACTCTCACCAAATGCAATCACCTGCCATAGAGAGATGTGAAGTCTTTGAGTGCATTCATAGTGAAACTATCTAACCAACTCAGCAGGGACTCTCACCAAATGCAATCAGACTAACAGATTAACACGTTATTTCCGACCCACTCGTATAATCACCAACTTGTCCGTTTTCTACTCAGTGCCACAGAAATACATAAAATCTTGATACAACTTTGCATTGGTGATCCAATTTACTAAGAACATGGTAAAATGTTTACCCGAGTCCTGACAACATTTATTTTCGTTGGTTTCTTTAGGGTGGTTATGACTAGCCTTCAGCCATCTTTATCAGTCTCCTAAAGATGGCTGACGGTGCGTTAAAATATTTCATGTGAGTGATACAATTTTACTTATAAACAGATTGTGACAAAAGAACTTTTGACTTATGCCATCTATCAAATGAATGAAACTTTTTTAACATGCCCACATATTATTGACTTGAAATTATAATGGAAGATTTATGCTATAATTAAACATTCTTGAAGCTCTAGAAATTCTTCACCAGTTCCCCTTTTGCCACGAGAACGAGGGTCAGAAGTGTTCAACTTGGTCTTTTTAATTCTGGCTGAAGGCCAAGTTGTTGATTCCATTTTCTTCCTAGTAACCCTCTTGAAGCTCATTTTCTTCCTCTTTCTGTAAAAAGAACCTTGAACCATTAAAAATTCACTCTTCAGTTATTTATAGATGTTGTAATGTTAAAAAGATTAAGTGTAATTTATCATTTCATAAACATACCTTGTACAGACATACAGATATGTACTAACTAGTATAATAAATGTCTTATAACAGACAAAAACTCAACATTAATAATGAAAACAACTTACTATCAATATACAACAACAACATCAAGCTGTAATATTTGTTATATAATAAGTTTTATCCTTAAAATAAGCAAATCCTGAGTCTTAAGGCCAAGAAGTTTTCAAAAATTCAGTTCTAAATCAAATTAAACATCATACTTGATAAAAGTATTTGTGTTTTAATGCAGTAACTGTTACTTTGAAAATTAACCATTATGATAGTCATTGCTTTGATCTTTTTAGTTTAATTAGATGAGATTACTTTATTACAGCTGATAAGTTTCTATGTAATCAATTACTGCTGATGTGACTTTTCCCTCAAATTAGTCCCACCACCACAGGTATGTCTATTTCTATGGATAGAAGACCAGTTATGTCACAGACAAAAGGTTGGAAAGAGAGAGCTATATTCAAGCCAATATACCGCTAGAAGCACTTCGAAGTGTGTGTGCATGCGTGCGTGCATGGTGCATGTGTGTATTGTATTATGAGTGTGTTACGTTTCTGTTTGTGAACGTGATCTTCACATTAACTTAAATGTACTTGTTTTAATCCATATTTCTTTCTTCAAATCTTGAGTCCCCAAACTATTCAACACATGTATTAAGATATGTGTCATGATTTTGATCATGTGTAACAAAATTACCTGATGCATGAAGACATCTGCTGTGGAAGATATAGAAAAGATGTGTAACTGTTAGTATCACATCTATTATCTAAATAATTATAGTATTTAATTGCTCTGCAAAGGAAAGCCAGAGAAACTTTACAAACATGCGACATGCAGTTTTCTTTTTTTTTTTTAATATTAAAAAGAATAGCTTCTACATTTACACATAGAGATATTAGTATTTCAAATTGTGAGCCCTCTAGAATGAAATGAACCAGCATGCAAAAAGGAAAAAAAAATACATATTAATCAAAACTTTGTAAAGTGGGCTGAAAATGTTTGATTTACTTTTTCATTAATGATAAATTGTCATTATTTGGTAATAGATACATGCAACTATCATTAAAATTAGAATGTCTAAAACATAAGATTATAAAAAATGTCAGATGAAAGAAAAATGGCTCAAATAATGCAAGAAAAAAAAAAAATATATATATATATATATATATATACATATTTATATATACCGTCTCTGATTTCCTACAGCAACAACACCATGAGAACAACAGTCTGTCATCAATGTCTTCCCTTTTCATCGGGCCTGAAAGTAGCAAAGAAAGTCATGGTATTTACAATATATAAGTGGTAAAACTGTTTTAGATAAGAGAATGAAAGTCAATTGTGCATCAGCTATCAGAGACAGGCCTCACAGAGAAATTTTAAGAGTAAGTTTAAAGTTGTGTCTTGTTTGAGTAATAAAAAAAAACCCTGTGCTTCAAGCATTTTATTCCCTAACACAGGAATGTAAAAGAAATGAAATAAAAAGGCAAACATGTGACCTTTCAATCCATATTTGTGCTTTAAACATTAACTGGCCTTAAATGCCACACTATTTCACAAAACTGATTACAATCAAATTCAGATAGCATGATGCCCATATAACACAATTAATACAATACCAAAGATCACATCTAACGCAATCAGAAACAGATCACANTGGCTTAATTCGTTGAGAATGCGCTCTAACAATCTTTACCTTCCTATAGATCACATCTAACACAATCATTACTAGATCACACCTAACACAACCCATACCATACAACATTTCACATCTAACACAATCCTTACCATGCTACAGATCACATCTAACACAATGAACACGTCAGATCACATCTAAAACACACTACCTGTGATCAAGCTGATAACTGTACCAAATACCAGTGTAGTAATTAACCCCACTGCACCATACCACATGTAGGACACTGTGTACAACCTGGTGAGATCAAACCTGGAATATTATCATAAATATAAGGACTGGGAAATTTATAAAGATGAACTAATACTAGGTATAAAACATACTACACAAACAAAATAGGTCAAATTAATGAAATAGTAACAAATAATATAATTTGCTAAATAAACAAAAGAAAAATTACTATAAAAAGGAATTACCCAGATTCTCTGTCTTGGGCAGGACTGTCTGAGGCCAGCACTGACGGCACTGTGGTCAAGTTGGTGACCAAGAGGTCAACAGCTGAACTGACCATGGAGGCGTTTCTGTCACTCAGACACCCTGATATGTTGGTTGGCAGGTAATTAGTGGGGGGTTTGTGCAGGTAAGCTCCAAAACTGATCCACAGGGGGAAGGCTAACCCCAATATACCACCTATCAAAACTCCCTGCAAACAAACTAGAACTCATTACTATAATAATAACAATCTTTATTAGTTCTAGTGCAATTTTTACAAAAGCTATGACCAAACAAGTACACAAATAGCATAATGAAATAGGTGATGTGTTCATATAATGATTACTTTATGCTAATCAAAATTCCATCTGAAGTCATGTTATAAAGTGCACAAACACTAATCACTTCATAACAATGATTAATCAAAAAAAAAAAAAAAAAAAAAGAAATCCTAAATATGACCAGGGTGACTACACAATTGTTTAAGTACCCAGTGGCTTACGTACCAGCCAGTTGGCAAAAGGGACCAAAGCTCCCAGCAGGAACATCCCGAGGAGGGGTCCGTTTGCCGCGCCTTGAAAACTCAGCCCCAGCTGCATCACAGTGCCTCCTAATTGACTGGTCAGGAAGGCAAAACCAATACAGAGAGCACCAAAGAAGATCACTGAATAATGTATGGTGAGGAAAAAAGTAGGTAAAAAATATAAGTATAAATAAAAAGTTGGTAAAAAATAGAAGTATAAATGACAAAGCAAAAGATTCATTCTGTTATTTAATACTAAGTCAATGAAAAAGTATTAATTCTAATACTGGATCTGACTTTGAAACAGAGATCACTTTCTTTTGACATTATCACAAAACCATTTTTAGGTGAACTAATTTTGAGTTGTCACTGGTGTCACGTGATAAGGTCAAAACGCCATGATCTCCATTTCAACATAAGATCCAGTATTTGAATTATTTTGTCATTATTTAAGTATTTATCATTACATGTTTGGTTTAACAAGGTAACTGCACAAGGTGAAATTATAGTGTATATACTACTAAAAAAACTGCCATATTCCATACTACACACCAAGCCCCTTGCTGATCCAAGTTTTCTTCCTCTCTGCAATGTGGTTCAATTTTGGTTTGAAGACATCCTCCCAAGTTACTGCTGCTAAGGCACTTTGTGCTGATGATACAGTGCTGAAAGTACATCAATAACAGTAATAACAGCATGGTAACATTAACAGTATTTTAGCTAAGGCACTTTGTGCTGATGATACAGTGCTGAAAGTGCATCAATAACAGTAATAACAGCATGGTAACATTAACAGTATTGTAGCTGAGGCTTGAGACGTTTGTAGAGAGGATACAACACAGCAAAGACGCTAATTATTAGTAGCAATAACATGATGGCAATGACATCCTTGTTGCAAAGGTTGCAAAGCACATTTTGCAGAGAATACAGTAATAGTGCTGCACATATACCAATAACATTAACAGTAACCTCAGACAACATTCAGGGTACCCTGTGTATAACAGGTAAATAGTATCTCACCTAAGAGCTCCACTAAGTATACATGCTATGAACAACCCTGGAACCCCAGGGTAGCTGAGCTGGTCCATCAGAAAATATGGAATGATCTGAATGACAAGAAGTTAAATATAACTATAAAATAATATAACTTACACAACCACTGTCAATGTTGTGGACAATATTAATAGGAAAAATAAATATAAAAATTGAAAATAAGGAGAAAAAGATTTGATTTTGACAATTTTTCTAATTACCTGATTTGCATTCTTAATATACTTGGCCTTCAGAGGGTCACAGTTGATGCTGGCATAGTAAGCATAGACCACAACCCCAGCCAGGCATATCAGGCTGTACATTATAAACCAAAGCGGAGGATTCAAAATCATCACTCTGGAAAAATTAATTTTACAATTTTTTTCTAATCAACACAGCATTACTCACAATACTCCATTAAAAATAAGTCAGATATGTTTGTGTGTTCATACTTCATTTAGTTTTAGTTTTATTCTGAACATTGCATCATCTTTGAGGGCTGATTGAATTAAATCAAACTGACAGACAGACAGACAGACAGAAAGAAAAACATACTCTAAACATCACAGTATTTTTATGGAATTGATTGCTCAAACAGACAGATGGACAGACTCGCACTTTCTCCTATGTCCCATTCTTAACACATTGTGACAGCATCTTTGTGGGAATGAATGCTCAAAACAAACAGACAGACAGACAAACAGACAGACAAACAGAGGGCCAAACTCACAGTTTTGCCTTGGCTCCCGTCTCCACATTGCAGTATCTCTGAGTACTGGCCTGATTGACACCATAGAAAGCCACCAGCTGCAGCGTGCCTCCCACTATGATGGCCCAGAAAGTATGCCGCTTGGTGGGGTCTGGGTTGAAACTATAATAATAATAATAATAAGGTATTTTACTCTTATAGCATTACACAGCTGATGAAATTCTTCCCTGAAAATTACTGGGCTTGTATCTTGAAAAGTTGTAAACTTGGACATGGCATTACTGAGCTCTTATATCATATATTGCCCACTGGATTATGAGAATCAATTTTCAAATCAACCAAACATTTTTTCTGTGTCAAACTGAAACCAGATCTTTCATAACTGTTGCAGTGATTGCAAACTGCGTATTTACAAATATCTAAATAAAAACAAGGCATACTCAAAGAAATCAAGTCTTCCTCCTTCATCATTAATGTTCCATACTTCTTCCAAGCCTCCAACTTTAAGGCTCCCCTGTTAAAAAAAAAACTTAGTCTAACATTTGAACATTAAAAAAATATAATGATTTTTTAAATAGTTATTATAAACATAACATAAATACAAAACTTCAAGTCTGTTTTTTGTCTTTGTCTACAGTCTTTATTCACTGACCCATCCATTCATTAATTCATCCATTCCTGTACTACTTCTACTGCTGCTGCTGCTGCTACTACTACTACTATTATTACTACGACTATTACTACGACGACGACTACTACTACTACTACTACTACTACTACTACTACTACTACTACTACTAAAACTACTACTACTACCACTACCTGGATGATGATAGCCAGTATTCCTCCAATCATAACCAAACTTTGTAACACATCTGCCCATACTACTGCCTTGATACCTCCCTGGAATATAATAAATATTAAACATCACCACAGACCAATTTTACAGTTATAGTCATTCTTCCTAAAAAACAAATATTATACTTCACAGGCCTATTTACAAAAATGTTTCAAAAATTTACTTTTAACTGATCAATACATATAGACTTATATAGTGCAATTTAATAACAAGGCAGCAAAACTGTAAAATGTACAGAAAATAAGGATGTACAAATTAGGTTATTTTCCCAATTTTGATGCAATAATACATTATGCTTAACAGCAAAGTCATCATCAGATTTATGGTTGGATCCAGCTGGTCTTAATTCAAACTCAACCTGTAGTGTATTTTCATTAACATGGATCACTCCTGTTAGTTTGAATTCAGGGCCACACTGCAGGGTAAGACAATGTGTACCACACTTACCAATGCTGTATAAAAAGTAGACACCAGTCCAACACTGAGAATAGTAGCCCACAGAGGAAGACCTGTCACTAAAATGGAATGGAGTCAAATACAGATACCAATTCTTGTTCTTATCTAAGGATAAGCAACATAAAAAGTTAACTATATGCAATTATTAATTGTTCACATCAAATGCAATATCAGTACAGACTGTCAAACTTATGTTAATTAAAAAAATGCTCTGTTGCAGTGTAAATCACTCTCACCCCTGATAAAACCAACTCTCTAATATAATGTCACACTATGTTCTTAAATCTCCTTTTAAGATTTTAGTCAAACCACCGACTGATTATACATGCGTACCAGGTGCTAGGTCACACTGAAGAGTCAACATATTTACCTGCCTCTAGCGCAGTGGCAGGAGCATAGATAGCAACAGACATGATGAGGACCTAAAGGGAGAATAAATACATGTATAATCAACATAATCAATTAATGATTTGTTTATATCAAAAAGAAACTGATGTCAAATTGGTGCATTTTACAGATACTGAATTTTGAAAGTCATAAATTATGACAATTAAAACATTCCTACTGATTGGATGTAACAACTGAAAAGCAGGCTACCTTATAGTTCTATTCCATTCAGTACAAGAACTACTAAAATGCTATACAGAAATATAATTTTGAATGGTTCCAAAATTATTCAACTGAAAGAATGATTATTTATCCCATTGAAAAGAATGAGTCCTTACCAGAACATTTAAAAGAAAACAAAAACTTCTACCTTTTTTCTCTAAAAAACTATTTTATATTCTTCACCTTAAAATAGCCTGAACTGTGATCAGATTTTTCTTGTTGTAATCAACTGTCCCTTGAGACAGCTGCCACTTACTGTGTAGATCAAAAGAATGACAAACCCCAAGATCCTGACAGACTTAGATTTGTACCTAAGTTCCAAGTACTGAAAATAAACCCAAAGACTTTATCATTTCATCATTCCTAATATTTGTTCAGAAAAGTGAAATGTGGACAACTTGAAAATATTTTACTTTTACAGAAATTGTTTGAAAATGGTTATTGGAGAAATGTGCATAATTACATTACTCTCTTACGATAATCATAAAATAAATTTGATAGGACCCTCTGCTGCAATGACCTCTCATCTGAAATCATTCATAAGAAATGATAGAGGGAGCCACTGCTGCACTGACCTCATTCACAGATGTCAAGCGTAGGGGATAGAGAAGAGGTACGAAGGTCACACTGGCCACTATGGCAGCCAGACCCAGAGAATATGTGAAGAGATAATATTGCGTCCCCTGGTAATACATCTCTGCGGAGGCTCCAAGAATAGAAATGGCAGAACATAGCGACACCAGTAAAGATACAGCGACAGGAGCCACCTGGAACGTTAATACATGTATCTCTAGAAAAACAAATTTCAATATCATTAGACAAGTCATGCTGGAACTATTAGTACTTCTGAATCAGAGAACATTTTGATTGGATAAAAATACAAAGAAAAGCAGTTGAATTAAATGTATTATTTGTTTTTTACCTACAAGGTGCAATTACCTTTAGCTTTCGATCAGCTGTCAAGAACTCATGGTTGGTCTTCTGTTTCCCGCCACTTAAAGAATAGTAAATCCCTGTAGCAGCCGATGCAACCAAAACAGCGACCAAAATGACATAGTCCGCCCAATGGAATTTGTTGTCTGTGGGAGTCATCCTGAACTGCAAGACACATTTCTAGATATATATTACTGCTGTATATAAAGTTATCATTATCTTTTTACCCAACATAACAATAAGTCAGAAATCCCATACAAGATTTGTTAAAAAGATCATACTAAACAGAGGGGTTTTTCACTAGAGAAAAACCAGGCAATTTAAATCAAATCAGAAAAGTGGTGATATATGTCTAGCTAGCCCACTGCAATATAGACTGAATAATATGTCCGCCAGCCACTCATTGTTGCTGCACAGGAATGCTGGAAACGTAGTATTCTGCCTGCCTAACTACAGCATGACAGGTGAACACAATCAACAACTTGTGTACCAAAATTCATATTTTCATCACGCAGTAAAAAACAGTCACAATATTCTACACAGTCACATTACATCAGCCATGTCTGTCAGCCCACCGGTACCTGGCTCCAGCAAGCGGCTCCAGCTTACAGCAAATAAAAAAACCCTCTCAGATTAAGAACATATACAGCACACACAATATACCTTATTCATTTTCTACCTGAGTGACTGACATATTTTGACCTATTACCAGTAAATGATTGTGTACATGACATTTTTGTTTAGCAGACCATGGAAGAAATGGTCACTGACATCATAACACCAACCTCACATGGTCCACATCATACTATAGCTGGGTTGGTCTTACTCCAGGGGGATTCTTGCTAAAGTGCAGTCAGTTACAAGTAAAATAAGCTCAATGTCCGACAGGCCTCTTAATTCAAGTAGCTTGGGGGGAGGGAATTTACAATTGTGCACTGATTTAGTTGATTGCTCTAGCGAGAATCCCCTGCAGAGCTGGACCAACCCAGCTAGTAGTTCTGTGACTCTGAATGTGCCCTAAGTCTATGTTCCATTGATTATATTAGTCAAGCTCAAATTCAAGTCAGTTAATGTCAGCTTCTCTCTAACTGTAAAAAACTGAGAGAGACAATTAACCACTGAGTAAAGTTCAAACTCAATCAATATACAATATTTCATAATTTGCATTAAAAATCTTTAATAGAAACAAACACACTAGACATTCAGTACCCAGTATTATTGCACTTACCGGTAATTATCTTGAAAAAAAAACAAACAATTTTCTCCTAATAATTTACAAATCAATGCTCAATTAAGTTGTCTCTGCACTAAGACTCAATTTTATCAACTGTGCAATTTTGAATTTGAATTTATTTAAAAATAACTCAAGTCTTGTTTGGTCAGGATTTTTCAACAGCCATTATATCTTTTTGGTATTTCAGAATTAAATATCAACATCAGACACTTTTACTTGAGTGGTTTTATCTCTTGAAAGGTCTGAATTAAGAAAGATAATTAAGTTGCTTTGTAGGATATGAAGCTAAGACATACATTTTTTAATTTTTTTTTTATTTATTATCATTTTTATTACTATTCTTTTATTTATTTTTTGTAACATGTACAGTGTACCTTTATAATAGCCAAAATATAGCTTCAGCACAAATGTGGTCTCTTTGGAAGGTGACTTGGTACAAACTAGTAACACCTCACAACAAATAGGATAAGTATCTCTCTCTATGGAAGGTGACTGGGTGCAATCTAGTAATACCTCACAATTAATAGGNAAGATTAATCAAAAAAAAAAAAAAAAAAGAAATCCTAAATATGACCAGGGTGACTACACAATTGTTTAAGTACCCAGTGGCTTACGTACCAGCCAGTTGGCAAAAGGGACCAAAGCTCCCAGCAGGAACATCCCGAGGAGGGGTCCGTTTGCCGCGCCTTGAAAACTCAGCCCCAGCTGCATCACAGTGCCTCCTAATTGACTGGTCAGGAAGGCAAAACCAATACAGAGAGCACCAAAGAAGATCACTGAATAATGTATGGTGAGGAAAAAAGTAGGTAAAAAATATAAGTATAAATAAAAAGTTGGTAAAAAATAGAAGTATAAATGACAAAGCAAAAGATTCATTCTGTTATTTAATACTAAGTCAATGAAAAAGTATTAATTCTAATACTGGATCTGACTTTGAAACAGAGATCACTTTCTTTTGACATTATCACAAAACCATTTTTAGGTGAACTAATTTTGAGTTGTCACTGGTGTCACGTGATAAGGTCAAAACGCCATGATCTCCATTTCAACATAAGATCCAGTATTTAAATTATTTTGTCATTATTTAAGTATTTATCATTACATGTTTGGTTTGACAAGGTAACTGTACAAGGTAAAATTATAGTGTATATACTACTAAAAAAAACTGCCATATTCCATACTACACACCAAGCCCCTTGCTGATCCAAGTTTTCTTCCTCTCTGCAATGTGGTTCAATTTTGGTTTGAAGACATCCTCCCAAGTTACTGCTGCTAAGGCACTTTGTGCTGATGATACAGTGCTGAAAGTACATCAATAACAGTAATAACAGTATGGTAACATTAACAGTATTTTAGCTAAGGCACTTTGTGCTGATGATACAGTGCTGAAAGTGCATCAATAACAGTAATAACAGCATGGTAACATTAACAGTATTGTAGCTGAGGCTTGAGACGTTTGTAGAGAGGATACAACACAGCAAAAACGCTAATTATTAGTAGCAATAACATGATGGCAATGACATCCTTGTTGGAAAGGTTGCAAAGCACATTTTGCAGAGAATACAGTAATAGTGCTGCACAGATACCAATAACATTAACAGTAACCTCAGACAACATTCAGGGCACCCTGTGTATAACAGGTAAATAGTATCTCACCTAAGAGCTCCACTAAGTATACATGCTATGAACAACCCTGGAACCCCAGGGTAGCTGAGCTGGTCCATCAGAAAATATGGAATGATCTGAATGACAAGAAGTTAAATATAACTATAAAATAATATAACCTACACAACCACTGTCAATGTTGTGGACAATATTAATAGGAAAAATAAATATAAAAATTGAAAATAAGGAGAGAAAGATTTGATTTTGACAATTTTTTTAATTACCTGATTTGCATTCTTAATATACTTGGCCTTCAGAGGGTCACAGTTGATGCTGGCATAGTAAGCATAGACCACAACCCCAGCCAGGCATATCAGGCTGTACATTATAAACCATAGCGGAGGATTCAAAATCATTACTCTGGAAAAATTAATTTTACAATTTTTTTCTAATCAACACAGCATTACTCACAATACTCCATTGTGTGTTCATACTTCATTTAGTTTTAGTTTTATTCTGAGCATTGCATCATCTTTGAGGGCTGATTGAATTAAATCAAACTGACAGACAGACAGACAGACAGACAGACAGAAAGAAAAACATACTCTAAACATCACAGTATTTTTATGGAATTGATTGCTCAAACAGACAGATGGACAGACTCGCACTTTCTCCTATGTCCCATTCTTAACACACTGTGACAGCATCTTTGTGGGAATGAATGCTCAAATCAAACAGACAGACAGACAAACAGACAGACAAACAGACAGACAGACAAACAGAGGGCCAAACTCACAGTTTTGCCTTGGCTCCCGTCTCCACATTGCAGTATCTCTGAGTACTGGCCTGATTGACGCCATAGAAAGCCACCAGCTGCAGCGTGCCTCCCACTATGATGGCCCAGAAAGTATGCCGCTTGGTGGGGTCTGGGTTGAAACTATAATAATAATAATAATAAGGTATTTTACTCTTATAGCATTACACAGCTGATGAAATTCTTCCCTGAAAATTACTGGGCTTGTATCTTGAAAAGTTGTAAACTTGGACATGGCATTACTGAGCTCTTATATCATATATTGCCCACTGGATTATGAGAATCAATTTTCAAATCAACCAAACATTTTTTCTGTGTCAAACTGAAACCAGATCTTTCATAACTGTTGCAGTGATTGCATACTGCGTATTTACAAATATTTAAATAAAAACAAGGCATACTCAAAGAAATCAAGTCTTCCTCCTTCATCATTAATGTTCCATACTTCTTCCAAGCCTCCAACTTTAAGGCTCCCCTGTTAAAAAAAAACTTAGTCTAACATTTGAACATTAAAAAAATATAATGATTTTTTAAATAGTTATTATAAACATGACATAAATACAAAACTTCAAGTCTGTTTTTTGTCTTTGTCTACAGTCTTTATTCACTGACCCATCCATTCATTAATTCATCCATTCCTGTACTACTTCTACTGCTGCTGCTGCTACTACTACTACTATTATTACTACGACTATTACTACGACGACTACTACTACTACTACTACTACTAAAACTACTACTACTACCACTACCTGGATGATGATAGCCAGTATTCCTCCAATCATAACCAAACTTTGTAACACATCTGCCCATACTACTGCCTTGATACCTCCCTGGAATATAATAAATATTAAACATCACCACAGACCAATTTTACAGTTATAGTCATTCTTCCTAAAAAAACAAATATTATACTTCACAGGCCTATTTACAAAAATGTTTCAAAAATTTACTTTTAACTGATCAATACATATAGACTTATATAGTGCAATTTAATAACAAGGCAGCAAAGCTGTAAAATGTACAGAAAATAAGGATGTACAAATTAGGTTATTTTCCCAATTTTGATGCAATAATACATTATGCTTAACAGCAAAGTCAGCATCAGATTTATGGTTGGATCCAGCTGGTCTTAATTCAAACTCAACCTGTAGTGTATTTTCATTAACATGGATCACTCCTGTTAGTTTGAATTCAGGGCCACACTGCAGGGTAAGACAATGTGTACCACACTTACCAATGCTGTATAAAAAGTAGACACCAGTCCAACACTGAGAATAGTAGCCCACAGAGGAAGACCTGTCACTGAAATGGAATGGAGTCAAATACAGATACCAATTCTTGTTCTTATCTAAGGATAAGCAACATAAAAAGTTAACTATATGCAATTATTAATTGTTCACATCAAATGCAATATCAGTACAGACAGTCAAACAAATATCAACTAAAAAAATGCTCTGTTGCAGCGTAAATCACTCTCACCCCTGATAAAACCAACTCTCTAATATAATGTCACACTATGTTCTTAAATCTCCTTTTAAGATTTTAGTCAAACCACTGCCTGATTATACATGCATACCAGGTGCTAGGTCACACTGAAGAGTCACCATATTTACCTGCCTCTAGAGCAGTGGCAGGAGCATAGATAGCAACAGACATGATGAGGACCTAAAGGGAGAATAAATACATGTATAATCAACATAATCAATTAATGGTTTGTTTATATCAAAAAGAAACTGATGTCAAAATGATGCATTTTACAGATACTGAATTTTGAAAGTCATAAATTATGACAATAAAAACATTCCTACTGATTGGTTGTAACAACTGAAAAGCAGGCTGCCTTATAGTTCTACTCCATTCACTAAAAGAACTACTAAAATGCTATACAGAAATATAATTTTGAATGGTTCCAAAATTATTCAACTGAAAGAATGATTATTTATCCCATTGAAAAGAATGAGTCCTTACCAGAACATTTAGAAGAAAACAAAAACTTCTACCTTTTTTTCTCTAAAAAAATATTTTATATTCTTCACCTTAAAATAGCCTGAGTTGTGATCAGATTTTTCTTGTTGTAATCAACTGTCCCTTGACAGCTGCCACTTACTGTGTAGATCAAAAGAATGACAAACCCCAAGATCCTGACAGACTTAGATTTGTACCTAAGTTCCAAGTACTGAAAATAAACCCAAAGACTTTATCATTTCATCATTCCTCATATTTGTTCAGAAAATGGAAATGTGGACAACTTGAAAATATTTTTCTTTTACAGAAATTGTTTGAAAATGGTTATTGGAGAAATGTGCATAATTATATTACTCTCTTATGATAATCATAAAATAAATTTGATAGGACCCTCTGCTGCAATGACCTCTCATCTGAAATCATTCATAAGAAATGATAGAGGGAGCCACTGCTGCACTGACCTCATTCACAGATGTCAAGCGTAGGGGATAGAGAAGAGGTACAAAGGTCACACTGGCCACTATGGCAGCCAGACCCAGAGAATATGTGAAGAGATAATATTGCGTCCCCTGGTAATACATCTCTGCCGACGCTCCAAGAATAGAAATAGCAGAACATAGCGACACCAGTAAAGATACAGCGACAGGAGCCACCTGGAATGTTAATACATGTATCTCTATAAAAACAAATTTCAATATCATTAGACAAGTCATGCTGGAACTATTAACTTCTGAATCAGTAAACATTTTTAATGGATAAAAATACAAAGAAAAGCAGTTGAATTAAATGTATTATTTGTTTTTTATCTACAAGTTGCAATTACCTTTAGCTTTCGATCAGCTGTCAAGAACTCATGGTTGGTCTTCTGTTTCCCGCCACTTAAAGAATAGTAAATCCCTGTAGCAGCTGACGCAACCAAAACAGCCACCAAGATGACATAGTCCGCCCAATGGAATTTGTTGTCTGTGGGAGTCATCCTGAACTGCAAGACACATTTCTAGATATATATTACTGCTGTATATTAAGTTATCATTATCTTAACCCAACATAACAATAAGTCAGAAATCCCGTACAAGATTTGTTAAAAAGATCATACCAAACAGCTAAAAACCACAAAGTTTAAATCAAATCAGAAAAGTGGTGATATATGTCTAGCTAGCCCACTGCAATATAGACTGAATAATATGTCAGCCAGCCACTCATTGTTGCTGCACAGGAATGCTGGAAACGTGGTATTCTGCCTGCCTAACTGCAGCATGATAGGTGAACACAATCAACAACTTGTGTTACAGTACCAAAATAAACATTTTCATCATGCATTAAAAACAACACAATATTCCACACAGTCACATTACATCTGCCATGTCTGTCTGCTAACCCACCAGTACCTGGCTCCAGCTTACACCAAATAAAAAGACACCTTCTGAGATAAAGTGCATATATATAGCAGACACTATACCTTATTCATTTTTTACCTGACTGACATATTTTGACCTATCACCAGTAAATGATTGTGCACATGACATTTTTGTTTAGCAGGCCATGGAAGAAACGATCACTGCATGACATCATAACACCAACCTCCCATGGTCCACATCATACTTTAGCTGGGTTGGTCTTACTCCAGGGGGATTCTCGCTAAAGTGCAGTCAGTTACAAGTGAAAAAAGCTTAATGTCCGACACGCCTCTTAATTCAAGCAGCTGTATTGATTTAGTTGATTGCTCTCTAGCGAGAATCCCCTGCAGAGCTGGACCATTCCAGCTAGTAGTTCTGCGAATGTGCCCTAAGTCTATGTTCCGTTGATTATATTAGTCAAGCTCAAACTCAAGTCAGTTCACGCCAGCTTCTAACTGAAAAATACTGAGAAAGACAACCACTGAGTAAAGTTCAAACTCAAACAATATACAATATTTCATAATATGCATCAAAAATCTTTTTAACAGAAACAAACACACTACCCAGTTTATTGCACTTACCAGTAATTATCTTGAAAAAAAAGCAATTTTCTCCTAATAATTTACAAATCAATGCTCAAGTTGCCTCTGCACTAAGACTCAATTTTTTCAACTGTGCAATTTTGAATTTGAATTTATTTAACAAGGCAGCAAAGCTGTCAAATGTACAGACAAAAAACAGGAAATAACTATGCACAAAATAGGCTACTGTCAATTCTGATGCAAAAGTACATTATGTTAAACTGCAAATTCAACATCAAATTTTAATTATGCTCAAGCAGCACCCAAAATTGTGTTTTCTTCTATTCTGATGCAATATTACATAATGGTTAACAGCATAATGACCGTCAATTTTTAATAATAAAATATACATGGATTTTCAGAAAATGTGACTAGCATGGGTCTTCAAGCCCGTGGAACTTCAAAGTTACACCTTGAAAATGCCAATATGTGAAAAATTAAATTTTCACAAAAAAACTGTTTAACTGGCAGTAAGAATTACCAAACAGACTGCATTGCCTACTGAAGCTGTATTTTAGTCCCATGTTTCTTTCCTGTAAGTTTGAGAACAGTAAGTGACATGGTTTTTCTTAAATGGTCATCATGGGGGCAGTGCCCAAAATAGTTTTTTTTT